GTTGAGACGGAAGGATTGCCAGAGCCCAGCAGGTTGACACTGGGGTAGATGTGAGTGTTCTACTGCACTCCAGCCTGGGTGACGGAGTGAGACTCCAACTCAAAAAAACCAAACAAAAAACAAAAAAAAGCTACTTTTAGAAAATAAAATTGTAAGCCAGGCTCGGTGGCTAAGCCTGTAATCCCGCGCCTTTGGGAGGCTGAGGTGAGTGGATTGCCTGAGCCCACGGGTTCGAGACCCGCCTGGGCAGCAAGACCTCATCTCTACAATAAATCAAAAAATCAGCTGGGCGTGGTAGCGCATGCCTGTAATTCCGGCTACTTGGAAGGCTGAGGCGGAAGGATCGCCGGAGCCCAGCAGGTCGAGGCTGCGGTGGCTGGGAGCGGCCACTGCACTCCAGTCTGGGCGACAGAGTGAGACTCTAACTCAAAAAAAAAAAAAAGAAAATTGTATAGTTATGGAAATTCTGTTTAGGTAATTTTTATTTTATTTTTTAACGTTTCTGTATCTTTGTGCCTATATTATCATGCTTCTTTATTCTAGAAAAGTTGTATATATATTTCTTTGGCTCTATGTTTAAAGTGAAACAATAAATTAATAAACAGAAAAAAGCAAGACACAAGAATACGCAGAGCTTGAATGAAAAAAAATGTTCCTACTTCTTGATCACATAGAAGCTCAGAGCAATCAACCACTCATTCTCATTAATGCAATCAGCACCCAACCGAAGTTCTCTGACTACTTTGGATGGAACACCCAATGTTATATTATGACCATCTTCTGGTGAGAACAGGACAAAGTTGTGCAGATATCTTACACAACTGTGTCCAGAGAAGTATCACTCACATGTTAAAAGGAAATACAAGGAATACTGTAATTCCATTTTGTGAATTTAAAACAAAAATAATTCTCTTAAACTTAGTAGTAATGTTCAGGATTTTTCTTTTTCTTAATCTACTAAGGAGTCAGACATGGTTACATTTTACTAGAGAACAGCGTAGCCATCAAGTAAGTTTTTCCTAATGAGTAAATCAGTTTCACAGAGCCATCAATCATGACCGTCTCGAATAACAGTGCAGGAACATAAAGGTGGCTTTTCCTCCTAACCTGGACTACTACTGGCTTGGAGCCATCCCTGGCTGCCAAGGACTTGAGGCATAGACTAGTATTTTGAAATGTACCAATTTAAGCTTAAAAGTTTCCATTCCATCCACACCCTGTCTTTAAAAGGCACAGTGCATGAATCTAAAATGTTGGGAGAAAGAAAATATGACTCAGGTTGGTTTGGTTTTTCCTGTATTTTACTTTACTTTCATCTTTGAGGAAATGGCATGTAAAAACAACAAACAACCTAACGGTAAGCCTGATTACAGGCTTGAAATGCCAAGTATACTTTTCTAAGGTATGCTGTATTTTTCTTAAATCTGGAAAAGGTTGTTTACAACTATCAAATATACCTATGAAGGCAAAACAGCTGCTTTCATTATAACCAAAGTACAGCTTGCAGGAGTAGACATCATCAGGCACAAAATCTTGCCTCTTATCGATATAAACCTGACAGTAGGCTCAGACCTCACAGAGCACTCACAAAACCACAGTGACTCCTTGCGGTCGTGAGAGTTCTGCAAGTCACATCCTGCCCAAATCAGAGCAGCATACAGGAAACAAAAACCCAAAAGCAAACACAAGATAAAAATACCTGATAACTGATAAAATTTAGCTACAATCCCCTTCTCTTGTTCATCAAAGAGCATCATATCATCTTCATTCTCAAGCACGGCTTTCAGTACCACCAAGAAGCTCTGAAGGTAGTAAGGGTGAGGCGGCAGTGTTTGGGTTGTCTGACCAAGACCATCACAGATCGACCCCTGCTCCGAAGGAATACTGTCAGAGACTTCATTCTTTAAGTTACTGTCACCTTTCAGAGGAAGTGCTTGGATGTCACTCCATTTAGAAGTATCATTTGTAGAACTATGAGATTTTGCCTCCAAATGTGACAACTGTGTTTCAGCTTCTAAAGCAACAGTCATTTTTACTTCTTCACAACTACCAGCCTCACATTTTCCAACTCCTTTACCATCCACTCCTCTGATACTCTCTTGCTCTACAAGATTGTCTTCTGCATCCGACTTTAATTTATCCCCATGAGTTAAAGCCGGCGAGAGTAACATGAGAGCACTATCTGAGGAACCAGGGGTGAGAGCTGACTTCCCAAATTCCTGGGTGACCTTTTGGCTCTCAGCTTCCAGGAGTTTACTGCCTTTTACCATATATTCAGGAATACTCTCCTCCTTTAGTGAATCAAAAGTCAACAGGTTTTCCTTTTGAGAACTGTTCTCCAAAATTTGATCTTCGTCCTCAATTTGTGAACACTTATCAACATGGCTCCTAACAACTGTGGATTTGGAACTCTGGGGACAATGACTGGCAAATTCCTCATTCTTATCTATTGATTTTTTAGCCTTTATGTATTTTCTGGATAATTTAGATGACAAGCTTCCCAAAGGAATGACTTTCACACTATGATTTCTCAGTTCATCTTGATTTCTGCACACCAAACCATCATTACTTTTAAAGTAGGGACTGGTCTTCTGTTTTATGCCCCGTTTTGCTGAATCACCTTGGCCAGAGGTTAAATTTGTCTTTGGTGGTGATGACTTCTTTGGTGTTACATCTCCTAAGGTAATACTGGTTAAATCCACCGCAGATGTATCTGAATTCATTAAGCCAACCTGCACTGGATCAGCTTGAACAATGTCATCATTGTTAGCACACACTTCGTCAAGGTGCCGATTTAAGTCATATCTCGGCACCAACTTATTACAAATGGGGCAGGCAAGTTTAGCAGGTGGTGCATTGTTAAAATATGAAATAATAGAATTAGATGCATTTTTTTTAGTCTTGCTGACTGATAAGCTTCTACGAGGTCTTTTTTTGTCAGGAGATTTCCCTTCTGATGTCATGAGTATTAGAAAAACTGAATGTTTCAAGCAATAAAAAAGTTATCTCAGGTGAAAGACAGCAACGGTTTACTATTACTTTCTTGACTTGAAATAATGAAAATTGGGATTCTATTTGACTTCATGTTTATACAATGTCTTCTTCCTACAAAATGAAACACATGAATTAAAAGCATTCTAATGAATTCAACAGGAGAAGGGGGAAGGCAAACTCTAAAACATGCAAGGGCAGGATATCCTGGGATGAAGAGACAACTCCGGGCTTGAGACAGAAGACCAAGACTCTACCTGCAGACGGACACACAATCTTAGAGTGTCCCTTTCCATAAAATGACAAAGTTGAACTTGTAAGGGTAATTCCTAAGACATCTTTAAGAGCTAGTTATCTGTTTTTAAAAAGGGATCACTTGATTATCCAGACCCTTTATAAGACCACTGCAGCCGGACACAGTGGCTCACACCTGTAATCCCCCTGCTTTGGGAGACCGAGGCTGGAGGATCGCTTGAGGTCAGGAGTTCGAGGCCAGCCTGGGCAGCACAGTGAGACTTCGTCAGTATAAAATAACAAATAATTAGCCGGGCGTGGCGGCGCGTGTCCGTAGTCCCAGCTACTCGGAAGGTGAGGCAGGAGGAGCCCTTGAGCCCGGAGTTCGAGCCCGTCTCAAAAAGCAAAACAAAAGAAAAGAAATCTAAGGCCGCCGCAGCCGTGACATTTTCCTAGTGAGTGGCGACCGTCCGCGCTGCCCGCGCTGCCGGGACGGACTCCCGCCCGCACAGACGCCATGCCCGCGTCCCAGGTCTGCGCACACGCCTGACCTCCGCGGCTGCTCCCTCCACGGCGCCCCGGAGGCCCAGGCGAGCACAACCGGCGCTGCAGGCCCCTTCCACGCACCTGGGGCCACGCGGCCGAGTCGGGGTCTCCCCTCCCTCCGCCCCGGCGCCTGCAGCCCGCGATCCCGGTCCGCCCCCCCACCCGGCTCCGCGCGCCAGCGCTCGCAGGCATTCCCAGCCGATCCCCACGTCTCGATTCCACAGGCTCAGCGAGTGGAGGCTCGAGCGATCGATCTCCTCGCCAGTCCGCGTTAGGGGAGCCCTGGAGGGAGACCTGGCCACCGCCTTCTTTCTGCACCTGCTGCGGTGGCCGTCCTGTGCCCCCCTGCCCTCCTTGTCTGCGGCTGTGTCTCCTTCCCCAGTCGGCGAGAAGGTTGAACAAACTAAACGTGACTGTGGGGGTACGTTCTGTTTCAAAGTGAGAACGGCCTCTGGGGAGAAGACGGACACAAGCCACCTCCACAACCCACAAGAGGATAACATGGACTCCACTTGAGCAAACTTCTGCAATCAGCAAGATGGACTGCTCGGTGGTGTGCTGGGCTTTCCAGAAGAATGTACTGATCCCTGGTTATCTGATATAATCGTTATCAATAACTTCAAGAGTGAATAATACAGTGTAGTAATTAGGGAGTGGTGAGTCTTGAATATTTATTATTTTAGTGTGTTTGTAAGGCTGTATAATTTAACGTTTAGTAATGACTGTCTAACAGCTGAACATGTAGCAGTCAACTCTGGAGCACTGACAGCAACTGATTCCAGCATATCCTTGAGTGACCTAGAATGTAAGCTTCTTGAGATCAGGCAGTCTGTATTTGTTGGCTTTTACCATAATATTGCCACTGCCTGCAATGTGCTAGTGCTAGTGCTGTGTAATTATTCATAAATATGCATTGAATGAATGCATGAAAAATGAATGAATAAACAAATGAACAAACCAAAGAGAACAAGGACATGAATAGAGAATTTATCAACAAAGATGTACTGAGTGCCTACCTCATTCTGGGTAATGTTCTAGATGCTGAAGATGTACGGCAGTGAACAGAATGAGGAGTGGGGGGAGGATGGGAATCCTTGTCTTCATGAAGGATACATTCTGGTGGAGGGAGATAAAGAAAACATAAAAAAATAAGTAGCCCCAGCTACTTGAGAGGCTGAAGCAGGAGGATCGCTTGAGCCCAGGAGTTCGAGATTACAGTTATGATCACACCACTGTACTCCAGCCTGGGCAAGAGACCAAGATCCTGCCTCAAAACAAAACCAAAGAACCACCAAGAAGGTCAGAAGACTAGAGTAGAAACGAAGTGAGAGGCAGCAGAGGGCCAGATCGTGCAGGACAAGAGTCAGCAAACTTGTTCTGTAAAGGTCCAGGTAGTAGAAATTTGAGGTTTTATGAACCATATGATCTCTATCAGAACTAAGCAATGCTGCTGTTGTAGTGTGAAAGCAGCAGTAGACAATATGTAACAAATGAGTGCAGCTGTGTTCCAATAAACTTTTATGTATAAAAACAGCTGGCTGAGGCATACAGCAGTTTGACAGTTGTAGGGGCTTGCAGGTCAGTGTATGGATTTGAGTATTGACTCTGAAATGGGAAGGGGGGGACTTCTCCCTGTTGTATTATAAATACGTTGTGGGTGCACAAGGATGGAAGCAAGAGAGGAAGCAGGGAAAAAAAGCTCAAGGGCTAGTGCAGTAATCCAGGGAGAGACGATAGTGGCATTGGTGGCATTGCAATGATGAGAAATGGCCATGTTCTGCAGATATTTAGCATACAGAGCCAGCAGGGTTTGGTCATGGTTGAGGAGGTACGGTATAAGAGGAGAAGAGCCAGGGAGAAGTCTGAGGCCTCTAACTTAGCAACTGGCAGGATGTAGGGGAGAGGGCAACAGTTCTGTTTTGGACATGAAAGTCTGACATGCTAGTTAGACATTCTTGTGGATGAAGACACTTGAATTTATTAATCGAGCAAGGTCAGGCTGGAAATATAAACTTGAAAGTTGTCAGAGTTTAAATGGCATCACTATCTGGCATCAGAGTTGACAGTACATAGAGAACTAAAATGTCAGAAGACTGTGACTCTGATAACAAGAGTTGGGGCAGTGAGGGCAGCAACGGAAACTGAAGTCATTTGTAGGAGGAAACCAGAGTCGGCATCCAGAAAACCAAGTGAGTGAGGTGTGGCAAGGACTAGGGGACATCATATGCAGAGAACGGCCACATAGGCAAGGCTGCTGCAGAGTCACCACTAGGGCAATGCCCAGCAAAGCCATGGGGCAGAGCCACAGAAGAACCCCCTCATGGGCAATATCCAGGAAAGCCATTGGGGCAGAGACACCGGTGTGAAATGCCAGCCTGAGATGGCTGCAGGCACAAGACTCCAACCAGTCAGATGTAGCATGGGCTATGCCCAATAAAGCCATGGGGGTAGGGCTACCTAGAACCTTGGGAATCCAACCCCCACCCCAATGTGTCTGGCAGGTAGGACATGGAGCCTCGGAGTCAAAGGTTATCCTCAAGCCTCAAGATTTAATGTTGCTTGCCCTACTGGGTTTTAGACTTGGGACTAGACACCCATTTCTCCCTTTTGGAATGGGACTATCTATCCTATGGCTGTTCCACCATTGTATTTTGGAAACATACAGCTTGCTTGATTTCACAGGCTCATAGCTGGAGAGAAATTTGGCTCAAAAAGAATCCAACTTGTCAGTGTTACCCATGTGTTTACATGAGACTTTGGATGACCTTAAAGTTGATGCTGGAATAAGATTTTGGGGGCTGTTGGGATGGAATGAATGTGTTTTGCATTTAAAAGCATGAATCTGGGGACTGGGTCAGATGCTAAGGTCTGAATGCATCTTCCAAAATTCATGTGTTGAAACTTTATGACCAATGTGGTAGTATCGAGAGGTGGGTCCTTTAGGAGATGATAGTCTTGAAGGCAGAGCCCTCATGGATGGGATTAGCATCCTCATAAGAGCTTGAATGAGTTTGGCACTTCTTACCATTCCACTTTCTACCATGATGAGCCGACAAAGTGCCATCTTAGAGCAGAGAGCAGCTCTCACCAGACACTGAACTTACTGGCACTTCATCTTGGACTTCCCAGCCTCCAGAGCCACAAGAAATAAATTTCTCAGGTATTTTGCTAAAGTAGCACAGAAGGACTAAGACAATTGGTGTTTAATTAAGCCTGGTAGAGCCCAGTTCTACCCTGCCACAGCCAGCTTCTGTATCAATAAACAGGATGCAGAGTGCAAACTTCCCCAGGGTCTTCTTGACTACTGTGATTGGCTCCTGCAGATAAAGAAACCAGAAGGGCTTTCACTGTTGCTTTAACTGATTCTCTACCCATCTGGAATGAGTCTTAATGCATTTCTATCAAATCATTAGGAGTTCCCATCAGACAAAAAGACAATCTTCCCTGGATAGGGAGGCTGAACAATGAGCACTTGGTGGTCAGGAAGACTCTCTGTAGACTGGCAGTCTCCATTCCTGGCTGTACTGAGCTTCTCTGGCTTCTAGGTTCACTTCCAGATCATGCCTGTCTTCTGCATCGCGTTGTAAATGGTACTTTTATAGTCTACATGAAGCCTCTGCTCAGGTGACATGAGATCATCTCCCAAAGTGGAAAGAAGGCACATGCATGAAAACGCTACTGGTGTGTGAAATGACAGGGTAGTAGGAAGAGAAAATCAAGACCCCCAAGAATGAGGACCTCTGCTTTAGACACCTGGGTATGAAGGGGAGACTGGCTCTGCGCCCTCTCAGTCCACAGGCCAGCTCTTACGAGCCCTCGTGCATAAGCTGGCCTGGCCTTCACACAGACTCAGGCCATGGCGAGCACAGCAGGCTCAGCTCAGGTAATGCCTACAAGGTAGGACCTGGGGAGTGAGGGCCTGCTTTCCACCCAATGAAAATCAGACAGACTTTCCCAATATAGTTTGGAGTCTGTCTTTTCACAACATGGAATCTCAAATGTCTGCCATCGATACAAAAAAGGTCTCAAGAATTTTATTATAAAACTGAACAATGATAAAATATAAGGTTACACATTATTATTTACATTATATTCAAAATATATTACAGCTTTAACTTTTGAACAGAAATATTCTGTCTTGTCTTCTTTTTCTTTTCCGTTTTTTTTGCATCACCGATTTGCATTTTTACTTGATCTTGTAATTTAGAAAAGAATGCTTGAGATGACTTTAAGGCTTTGTCTTTACCTTCATCCTGCAATTAAAAACAATACATGTTTATGCTACAAAATGTGCTTATCACAAAAGCCAAAAATAGTATGTTATGATTACAATGAGTGAAAGTACAAATATGAAGGACTAGAATTACAGAGAACATGACCAGTTAGCAGTACAGAACATCCTGTACTGCTACGATGTTCCTGTAGTTTAAGGGAGTGGAAGACAAAGTGCTGCCAGGCCCCAGGTGACAGTGAGGACCTCACATGCAAATCTTAAGAGTGGTGAAAGCTGCAATTCCAGTCTGGCACACATGCCTCCCAGTCCCACAGGCAGGCTGTCGGCAAGCTCAGACACGCCAGTCTGGTGGACAGCGACCAATGCTTGCCCTCGGCTTCCTCCAGAAGTCCCTTCAGCGGTTTTCCTTCCTGTCCTTACCTTTAGTAGGGCAGCTCTGCCAGTTTGGGTCAGCTGTTTTAACTTCTCGGAAGCTGCTGCTTTGGTGTACTTCCCTGCTTGATCTGGGTTGCTCTTTTCAAGCAGTTTTCTCCGCTTCTCCTTCTCCTTTATTCTCAAATGCTTTTGATATTTCTTTTTCCTCCGTTCTCGTTTCTTGTCTGTAGCTGTTTTCTCAGCAGCTGTTTTTATATCTCCAGCTTTATTTTTCTCCTGTTAAAATCACCACAACATCTAAGTTTTTAGTCTAGTCTAATGTCAACACAGAAAACTGGAACAGAAGAAGCCTCATGGCAGGTAGCCAGCAGGCTGTGTGTCCATGGTCGGGTGTGTAAGGATGCAGAGCAGACACCACCTGTGTTCCAGGGAGCTTTGGTAACTCAGCTCTTTACAACCTAGAACACATTCTTGACAGGACAGACTTTTTGAATGACAGTTTAGTTTCCAAATTCATTCACAAAGGCGGCACAGGGAGCTGGGTTTCAAGCTAATGGTACACGACTAGGAAGTCCTCCACAGCATTTAGACTGTAAAGGGCTTTATGGACAGGCCTTCAGCAGCCTCAGATCTCAGATGCTAGTGACAGCAACTGGACTAAGGACAGGGATCTCAGAGACAAATGAGCAAAGGGAGGAAAGGGAAGCATCTCCTCAGTGAGGTGTGATTTCCTCTTTTCTCCTCACTGCCAGCCCATCCTGCCAGGGCTGTCACTTGCACTGAGAAGGCTGAGGCTCTGATGAAAGGGATAGATGCGGGTGTAGTAAAGCATGTGAGGAGGGACAGAGGGCCCTGCTGCCAAGCCAGTCAGCAAGATGGGGAACTGGTAGGAACCATGATTTCTGTGCAAGGCACAAGTGTCAAGTTCACAAGGCAGGGACTGCCTGTATTTGATATATCCAATCTCTTCTAATACCCAAATGCTATACTGTAGACCCAGATTCTGTAACTGGTAAGCATTATAAAGGGGAAAATGCTAATGCTAAAGTATTGCCAGTACATATACAATTATGAATAATCTGTCTTAAAGTTAACATCACTGCTAGTATTCAGACTTGATGATAAGATCCTGATACTGGATATTTATAACCTGCTTTTAAAATAATTCTCAAACCTGCACCTCATAATAATTAACGCCTGGTTATAGGAAGCTGGTGTTTGAACATAACAATACTATTAGTTTGACTACACTTAGAAACTACTGGGATACATTAGAACATAACTTATGAACGCAAGGAAAACAAATAAATAGGGATCTGGCTATAATCAACTAACCGGTAAATAGATACTCAGCATTCCAGCACTTGCTTACCTTGATTTCCTCTGGAGCCAAGAGAGCTGCATCACTAACACTTACAGGGGCGACTTCCTCCACGGTTATGGCTGGCAAGTTTGACACGACTTTAATCTCTGGTACGGGCTAGAAAAAAGATAATACATTCATGGGAAGCCAGAAGTGGCCCCACATACAATGTAGGAATTGTGACCCCATTAATCTGAAGCATAACATTTATCATTCATGTGAGATGTGTTGACAGCCCACGTCCTAAGCTGACTAGAATGACAGCAGTGTTGGCAGGCAGCACAGGCTGCCTCAAGAATACTAGGTGGGTGTTCCAGGATCCCATCAATACTATTCCAATTGCACCCACTTCCACACTGCTGCATAACACTCCCGGCACATCTAACACCAGTTCTTTCATCTCATCCTAAACTATTCCTACCTGCCGTGTATGTGGACATTCCCAAACAACCTTACCTAGTTTAATAAGATTTATTTTTATTAATATTCTCTTACCTTTGGTCATGGAAAAAAAAAAGCTAGCTCTAAGAAATATATTGAGGGCAACCCACTGAGGTTCCCTCCCGCTGTAAGAGCTTCTCTGTCCTCTCAATAAATCCTGCTTTCTCAAAAAAAAAAAAAAAAAAAATATATATATATATATATATATGTATACACATATATGAAAGATGCAAGGAAAAATGCTTATGGGAATAAGAGTCAAAATAAAAGCTAGTTGATAAACAAATGCTCTCATCTTCTAGGTAGTAAGACATTATCTCTATAAACATAAATATGAAATGATATTGAATTGTTTTGAAAAACTAAAACAGTATCAATACTGTTTATCAATTATAAAAAAGAAAAAAGGAGGCCAGGTGGGGTGCCTCACACCTGTAATCCCAGCACTTTGAGAGGCAGAAGCAGGAGGACTGCTTGAGACCAGGAGTTTAAAACCACCCCAGGCAACATAGCAAGATGTCATCTCTACAAAAAATATAAGAAAAAAGAAAATTAGCTGGGCATGGTGGCGCATGCCTGTAGTCTCAGGTACTCAGCAGGTTGAGGTGGGAGGATCACCTGAAGTTCAAGGCTGCAGTGAGCTGTAATCACGCCACTGTACTCTAGCCTGAGCAATAGGGATTCTGGCTTAAAAAGAAAAGAACAGAAAAGAAAAGAAATGAAAAGAAAAGAAATGAAAAGAAAAGAATGTAATGCAAACTAAGGGTCATGTGTTTTTTGTTTGTTCTTTTTTTTTTTAACTGCCCAAGAAATTCAGAAATTAAAACAAGTTCCATACTGATCCTAGGAATAAAAGAACAGCGATTACTTGTCACAAGTGCTCTTACATCAAATTCTTGCACATCTCTATGAGGGGCAGCAAGGGGCAGGGAGAGCAGGATGACTTTGGACCCTTTGGCTGACCAGAGTGGGTTAAAGGCTGGGGCAGAGAAGCAGCAGGACTGAGACTCGGGAGTCCAGGACCCTACTGCCAAGCAAGTCACTGACTTCTCTATCCACTTATTTTCCTTATCATAGTCCTATCCACAATCATTAACTAGGGAAATATTCACCCAATCAAACTTCAGAGAGAACAAAAACAAGCCATAACCACATAAGGATCCTGAATTCTAAGTGAGAGAAAAAATTTCAGAGTGTGAAAGAAACTACTTCTTCCACTGGACCACTATCCAACTATTTACTAGGAACATTGTATTCCATACAACTTATTTATTTGTTTGGGTCAGTGTCTCACTCTGTCACCCAGCTCAGTTAATTTTTTTTATTGTCTTGTAGAGACGAGGTCTTGCTATATTGCTCAGGCTAGTCTCAAACTCCTGGGTTCAACAATTCTTCTGCCTTGGTCTCCCAAAGTGCAGGGATTATAGGCATGAGTCACAGCACCTGGCCCCATTCCACAATTTAAAGAGAAATACAAATAAAATGAGATAGCTTTAAAAAAACAATAAAAAATGACTGATTATTGGTGAATGGAGTCTACAAGAGAAGGCATGTGAAATCCTGACCTGATATGAAAAAAGTAGTATCAAGGGGAATCACTGCTAGCAAGTCTACATTTCTAGTAGATAAATAAAAAGTAGAAAAGAGGATAAAAGTAAGAAGAGCTTTCAAACTGGGGCAAGTAGACACAAACACATTCATTATTTCTTTCCTTCCCAAGACTCCAGGAACATCTCCAGGCTCTGGGCTAGTATGAGCAACAGAGTGGAACAGCAGACACATTTTGTGCCCTTGAAGATGAATAGAGAGCAATGAACAATGAGCCACCAACTGGGAAAGGAGCCAGTAGTGTCACCGGCAGGGAGGAGAGAAGGCACAGTCTATTCTAGTGAAGGGACAGGGAAAGTCTGTGAGGTACCTAGCCTGAGTGATAAGGAGTCAGCCATACCAAGAAGAGCAGCCTACTGGGCCAGGGGAAGAGTACAGTAAGGTATGAGGGAGGGACTTAGCCCCTGAAGGAACTGGAAGATCAGCATGGCTAGTAGGTAGCAAGCCAGGGAGACCAGAGGGGCAGGAAGAGCCAGATCCTGAAAAGGCCTGGAAAGGGCTTATGCCCTTCACATCAGTAAGACCTGCTAGCCAAGAAGGGTTGATAATTTCCACTTATCACTTCATCTGTTTATATAGACTATACTGGGCACTTTGGGAACCTAAAGATAATTTTTGCCATCAAAAGCGTACTCTCATATAAATTAAAACTTGAAATAAAAAAAAATATATATATACACAAATAAACAAACCAAAAAAACAGGCAATAAAAGCTTACTGTCTGTTTGAGAAGGCAAAATACTCTTACAGAAAAAAATCACCTAACCATCAAGTCATTAGAAAGGATCTTGGAGATTACCTCTTTTGTATGGATGAAATGTGAAGCTACTTGCTTAAGTCACAAAGCTGGTTAGGAGCAGAATGACACTCAGGTTCTGACTTCTAGCCTAGTCCTTACTTCATGACATTCCATCTCAGATAACACAAACACAGAGGGCAAAAGGATGCCACAAGTACGTATTATGGGTTTACAGAAGGTGGTGAGCAGGAGATGAAGCTGCAAGAAGGAGGCAAGTACTGAGCCAAGTCAGGCAACAGTCAGATAGAGGGGACAGCCCTTGAGAGGTTTAGGCCCAGTGGAGAGAACATGGGCCCAGAATTAGTTCTGACGCTTCCCCTGCTCCAAACCTCAGTTTCCTCATCTGCAAAATGGAAACAGTAATATCTCCTTCAGTGTTTTGTGCGATAAGTGTTAATGTATGAAAAGGACCTAATACAGCACACACCAAGTACTCAATAAATGCGAGACACAGACATCCATGTGTCTCCAAACCCATCACACAATGAAAATGCAACAGAAGACTGAGAGGGTGAGGGGAAGGAGGAGTCCCTGTGACTGCAGCTGAGAGTCTGTAGGGGCCCACTAGATATATGGTAGATCAGAAAGGGAGCCAGAACTTTCATGGGGCAAGAAGTGGGCCTTCTTCAGGGAGACGCAACTTATAATTGGCAGGGAACTACTAAAGGTTTGAATCCTGAGACCAGAAAAAGAGCTAGACTCACAAAAGCTCAGCGTTATCAAGGTCATACCTGCTCTGTCTACACACTTACCGGCTTAGGGATGAAGTGGAAGTTTGAGAGGGCATCCAGTTTCAAGAAGAGAGAGTCCATCAACTTTTGAATTTCTACATGCTCTGGATTTTCTTCTTCCACTGTTTTTTGCTTAGGAAATAAGTTTAACAACATCAAACTAAGCAACTTAATTATGTCTCACAGGATAAAATACGAAAGGCCAATGAGGATCCTTCCAATTTCTTATCACCAAGCCCTCAGTATCACAATGGTGCCAGCACCTACTAATGAGGAATGTGATGTGCATTTCGGGAGCTACAGTGACCCTTACCTCTAACATTTGAACTTACAATTTAATTCCCTTGGTATTTACTTCTGTCAAGAACTAAGCTATTCCCACTATGATGGCAATAATAAAAAAAAAAAAGAGGAAAACAGCAAGTGATAACAAGTGCTGGCAAAGATGTGGAGAAACTGAAACCCTTGAACACTGTTGGTTCCCAGGGGCAGTGGCAACAATGTTGGCAGTTGCTCAAAAAATTAAACAGAGAATTACCATATGACCCAGTAATTCCACTCCTAGGTATACACCCAAATTAAAAACAGACACACAAAAAATCCATATTGTTACACCAGTCACAACAGCAGAAGATGGAAACAGCCCAGATGCCCACCAATGGATAAATGGATATACAAATTGTGGTATATACACGCAGTGTAGTATTACTCAGCAATAAAAAGAAATGAAGTCCCGACACATGCTACAATCTTGATTATACGAAGTGGAAGAAGTCAGACACAAAAGGTCACATATATGACTCCATTTACATGATATATCCAGAAGAGGCACATGCCCAGAGATAAAAGGCAGACTGACAGAAGGTGATTGTGGTGAGTGAGGAAAGGGGAGCAACTCTTAACGGGTATGAGGTTTTATTGTGGGGTGACATGTTGGATCTAGACAGACATGGTGGTTATATGACACCATCCTAAATGCTCCTGATTCACTTTAAGCAATCCTCCCACATCAGCCTCTTGAGTCACTGGTATTACAGGCATGAATCACCATGTCTGACTTATTCGCTATAAAATGGTTAATCTTTATGGAGGAATAATAGTCAAGAAAAACACAAAAACAAGCAAACAAAATGAAGTGATACTTTAAAAAACAAAAAGGAAATAAAATAAAACAGTTACTTTCATGTTATGTTAAATCTCAAATCAGTTAGAAAGAAAAAAAGAACTTAAGTATTAATGGAAACTTTGTAAAATTATCCAAATAGTCATTTGGATTATAGGAACTCTCTTTTTTCATTTATATATAAGGTGTTAAAGATTTATTCTGACAAATCACACTGAAAAAATTGACAGCAATTTTAAGTCTACTGAGGAGAAAAGGCAAATTTCATACTTTTTTTTCTCCTGGTTTCAACTGCTCATTCTAAAAGGGTAAGAAGTTTTCTGTTTGTTTAATAAGACAGAAAGAAACTCCACCAGAACTAGAAAGTGACTGGCTGTCTGTCTCCATGACCCTGATGCAGACATGCATCCAGGTTTTCCTCCAGCACCCACCTTCCAGCTATGCCTAGGCCTCACATAACTATTGCTTCTTACTATTTTAACTTACTGCCCACTTTAAAAATTCTAAACACATTCTTTCGCCTCATTCTAGGTAATAATATCTGTGAAATTAAATATTTGATATACAACATTTTCTGATCCATATTACAAACACAACTGTGAGTAAAGTCCCTCATGCACCATCTACCATCATCTGGTGTCTAGAATTAGCCTAGCTGATAAACATACTAGAATTCTTAAGGCCATACTCAAAACTTTTGAACCAGCTGTTGACTTCTGAGAAATAAAACTAACATTTACAGAGCTGCCACTGCTGTGGCATTACATTTGACATTTTCACTCTCACGGTTGCCAAATACTTTCTGTATCTACTGAATCTCCCCTCAAAGTAACGAGGAAACATTTAGTAAGCATCAGCTGATGCTGTCCACAGTTTCCTTCAGCTACCAGTAGGAAAAATTTTAATTCAAATTTTGCAGTGGCATCAGGGCATAGTTTGCTGTTGCTGCCTGAGTGGCATTCATTAACAATGCTACCTCATCCCTATGCACATTTTTCTTTTGAGTTGGAGTTTCACACCATTGCCCAGCCCGGAGTACAGTGGCACACTCACAGTCACCCCAGTGTCAACGTGCAGGGCTCCGGAAATCCTCAGCCTTCCAAGAAGCCAGAACTACAAGCGTGCGCTACCACATCCGGCTAATTTTTAACTTATTGCAGAGACAAGGTTTTGCCAAGTTGCCCGGGCTGCTCTCGAACCCACGAGCTCAGGCAATCCACTCGCCTTGGCCTCCCAAAGTGCTGGGATTACAGGCTAAGATACTGAGCCCGGCCCCCTAAGCACATATTAACCTCAAGACATCAAATGGGAAGGAATAATTCAGTTATTATATTGGAACATAATATTCTTGGGAATAACTATGTCCTGCTATTTAAGCAGAGATTTTTTTCAGAATTTAAGAAAAAGGAAAACTAACCTAAAAATCAGAACGAATTCATAATCATATAAAATAAATCAATAACTTCAGAATATCAATGAGAAAGCATTTTTAAATTGTAGCACCACCATAGTAATTGCTAGAAAATTAATAATCAGTTGTAAAAGTAGCAGGTGACCAATGTCTAACTGCAAAGTGATTCCTCCAACCCTTCACATTCAGTGGGAACATAATCTTTCCATTCTAGCATGCTGTGTCTCACACTTAAACCGGGTGACTGAAATGCTCAGGATTTCTATTTCATGATTTCAACAGTCATGAAAAACCAAGTTTTCTTCTTCCATTTCTTTAATAATAACAGTTTTGCCTTAGAGGTTTCCTTACCTGGTTGAGTTTGATGTATTCCTGTTCATAAATTTCAGCAAGGCTTAATTTACTCTTCTCATGGTCTAATGTTAAACGCTTTTTATATTCATATGCATCCTCTTTTGGTTTTTCTTTACGTACTACGTCATCCCAAGCCTGAAATATAAAGGGCAGGTAGAACATAAGTTAACACAATCTACAATTTATAGATTCACTTAAGAATCTTCCTCTGGAATATTATTTCAGAGTAAGCAAATTGTAGCAAAAAGAAAGTAATTTTCAACCTCTGAAATGACTATTCAATTCACAAAGAATAAACACTATGAAAAGCGGAGAGGGTATTACTCAAATTTTTTTTGTTTTTGTTTAAATGAATCTTTCTCCTGGTTACCAACGTTTTTTTTTTTTTAATTTGAGTTGGAGTCTCACTCTGTCGCCCAGACTGGAGCACAGCGGCACGCTCACAGGTACCGCTGGGCTCCAGCGATCCTTCCGCCTCAGCCTTCCAAGTAGCTGGAACTACAGGTGCGAGCTACCACTCCTGGCTAATTTTTTTGATTTATTGTAGAGACGAGGTCTCACCAAGTTGCCCGGGTGGGTCTAGAAACCCGCAGGCTCAGGCAATTCACTCGCCTCGGCCTCCCAAAGTGCTGTGATTACAGGCTGAGCCACTGAGCCTGGCCATGGTTACCATCTTTAATTCCACATTTCTCCATCATTGTTTGTTTATAAGTCAAGGCTTGAGTTTATCTTGTTTCATCTCAAATTTTAAGATACTCTGTAGATTATACCCACCCTGCGAATCCTTTCTGTTTTAGACAGAAGTATAGGCAAACATTACACATACGTTAAATCTAAGTTTATAAAATCAGATCAATTTTTCAACAAAAATTTCTTGCTAGGTTTTTAACATTTGAAAAGATACATTCCGCTGGGTTCGGTGGGTCAGCCTGTAATCCCAGCACTCTGGGAGGCCGAGGCAAGTGGACTGCCTGATCCAGGGGGTTTGAGACCAGCCTAGGCAACTTGGCAAGACCTTGTCTCTACAATAAATAAAAAAAATTGCTGGGAGTAGTAGCGTGCACCTGTAGTTCCAGCTGCTTGGAAGGCTGAGGCAGAAGAATCGCCGGAGCCCAGCAGGTCGACGCTGAGGTAGCAGTGAACATGCCACTCCACTCCAGCCTGGGCAACAGAGTGAGACTCCAACTCAAAAAAAAAGAAAAGATACACTCTAGAAAAATGGTTTTAGAATTATAGCACTACCATATTGCTATAGCTTGAATGTCCTCCTCTAAAACTCATGTTGAAACTTAATCCCATACACAATGGAATTATGCAGCCATAAAGAAGGAAAAAATTATGTACTTCGCAGCAACTCGGACAGATTTAGAGTCTATCATACTCTAATCTATCACAGAAACAAAGAATTGAGTATCACATGCTTTCATGTGATAAGTGGACCCTAAACATTAATCATAACACTATAAGAAAGGGCTTGGCAGTAGCGGGACACTGCCAGGGGAGGGAAGGTTGGGAGTACTAACATCAATAAGGGTACCTGACCTCAAACCAGGCGAAGTAGGGACCAAAGGGAGGCCCAAACTTTATGATGACCACTTTTCTATCTAATCCTGAATTGTACCCCACATCTTTAAAATTAAAAAAATAGAAAAGAAAAAAAAGAAACTTAATCCCTAGCATTGTGGGGCCTTTAAGAGGTGATTGGATCATCATGGCTCTGCCCTCATGAATGGATTAGACCATTTATGGTTTAATGAGGAGGGAAACTGGTGGTTTTTCAAGTGACACCAAGCACCAAGTCGGAACTCTGCAGACTCCCCACCAGAAAGAAGGTTCTCACTATATGCAGCAGCCCCCTGACCTTGAACTTCTCAGCTCCATAACTGTATTCCTTTTCTTTATGAATTCCTCCGTTTCACATATTCAGTTATAGGCAACAGAAAACAGACTAAGAGACATAGACCGAGTGATTTGCCTCACCAGATACGGTGCCCAAACCAAGTGTCCTGGATATGACCACAAGTCTGTCACTACCTTTATCCAGCATCACCAGAAAGGTTAGCAAGACTTTAGAGGGAGGATATTAGCTTCTAGCTCCTAGTCTCTCCTCAAGAGCAATGCCCATCTTTCCTGGGCACTAGTGAGGAACAGTGCCTCACACACCAAAAGTTGAACATATCCTTAGCCTACACTTAAGGCTTTTAAATGAAGAACATTAAGTGAAAATAAAGAGACCTGTAGACCTACTCTCAAAATACTCTCATATTATTTCTAAAAATTTCAGTGACGTTTAAATTAAGCTAAATTGAATTCTCACTGACCTGATCTCTTATCCTCTGTTTAATGATATCTTCTAGTTGAAGGGTGGTTTCCTCTGTAATCACAGGTGCTAAAGAAAATACAATAGGTATTCATTAGGCAGATATACACTAGACCACTGATTCTCAAATCGTAATCCTTGAACTTGCAGCATTAGCAACACCCGGGAACATGTCAGAAATGCAAATTATTGGGCCAGCTGCATACTTCCTACATTAGAAAGTGAGTAATGGGGGCAACTATCTGGGTGAGTTTTGTTTTGCTTCATGTCAGGGTCTCACTGTTGCTGGGGCTGGAGTGTGGGGGCACAATCACAGCTCACTGCATCTTCGAACTTCTGGGCTGAAGCAATCCTTCCACCTCAGCCTCCTGAGTAGCTGGGACTGGAGGCATATTCCACCACACCCAGCTAATCTTCATTTTTTTATTTTACAGAAATGAGGTCTCATTATGTTGCCTAGACTGGTCTTGAACTCCTGAGCTCAAGAAATCCTCCTGCCTAGGCCTCCCAAAGTGCCAGGATTACAGGTGTGAGTCACTGTGCCAACCCAGTCACCTGTGTTTTAATAAACCTTTTGACAGAGAACCACAAAACTAGAATATATATGATATTAAGTACTAATACTTTATCCCATGTACCTGAGGACTCTTCTCCTCTTTTCTAGTGTCTCTTCCACTGAAATAAAATGAAAACTTATTTGGACTTAATGGGTACAAGAAAGAATTCGATGAGATGACCAGGGTTTTGTGTTGAAGTCTACAATTTAATTAGAGAACAGTGACAGGACAAGTCTTGTAAACATATCACTACAGGAAATTTGATTTTGAACTATACACTAGGTATCATTAGTATTTTGATGTTAAATTTCTAGGGTAGATTAATGGTACTATGGTTATCCTAAGAAGTATGTCCTAATTCTTAGAAGATACTCGTAAAAGCACTCAAAAGTGAAATGTCACATCAGCAACTTACTTTGAAATGATTGAGGGAAAAATGTGCACATATATATTCTTACGTACATGCAAGAAAGAAAGCAAATATGACAAAAAGTTAATTGGTGAATCCAGCCGAATGGTGTATAGTCGTTTGCTGTACTATTTTTACAACCTTTCTGTACATTTGCAAGTTTTAAAATAAAAATCTGGGGAAAAGGAAACACCACTCTGAATCTTTCTATGAAATGGAGCCACAGAAAAGGCATAAACATGAACATTTTGCAGAAGCCCAGCAGGGAGCATACCCATCCGGACAGCATGGTCAAAGTGCAGGGTCTCCTCTAAGAGGCTGTTCTCTGGTCGCTTCTGCGCTGTCACTTCCCCTTGAAGCTGCCAAGGCTTTTTTTCCAACAATTCTTTTTCTAAAGATGCAATTTTTTCACTCATCTAAGAGACAAAAGGGTTAGTATACATTTAAGCAACAAAATTAGATATATACTTGTATAAAAAAAGTAATATTTTAAAAATGGAGAAAGCAAGAAATGTACTTTTCCTCAATATAATTGTTTCTGTTTTGTGGGGTGAGCTGCAGATGATCTTCTTCCCCTGTGGATTTCAAATGCCATGTTTAAATTAAACTAAATTCCCCAGAAGCCCATGTATCTATTTATAAGCTACTATCAATTTTATTAGCCTATCCTAAAGTTAAATAATTCTTTGATTAGAATATTATTATCTGATAGAGCCCGACTCAATCTTGACTCCATACTCAAATCCTAATTATTTCTAACCTCTAAAAAACAAAATTTATAATGATGTATAAAAATGACAGCTGTTCCAGCTACTTTACATAATTGTCTCATTTTTCTAATGGTTTTTCAGTTTATTCATTTGGTTTCCTCTATAAATATTAATGCTTTCATTATCTCACATCTTTTTCTTTTGTAGTTTCACTAACATTAATAAAAGAATTAAAGAACAGTGGTAATAGCAATAGTGGACCTTTTGTCTTATTCTTGATTTTAAAGGGATGTTTCTAGAATTTCTCTGTAAAGTATAGTGGCAGCTTTTAACTAGACATTTTCATTAGGAGTGAAAAAAATTAGAAATGAAAATATTGAATTGTATCAAATGTCTTCCTAACATATGGAGGTGACCATGTTTTTTCTCCTTAACCTTATACAATCAAGAATTATGTTAGCTGATTTTCTAATACTGAATCAAGAGATCGAGGCCCACATGAATTTGTGGCATTATTTTTCACTGTGCCATTTAGGATTTTTACATCATGAAAATGATGTAAAAATGAGACTGTATGTGTGTGGTTTTTAATGATACTTTTGTCAGGTTGGGTTTTCATGTTCTAATAGTTCCATTAAGAAAAAAGTTTGAAGGTTCTACCTTATTCTTTATATGTGATAATTGCAATAAATTATCTATTTCTTGAAGGTCTGATATAATTTCACAGTAAAACCAAAGCTTCTTTCTTGCTTTTTATGTGGGAGGGAAAAGTAGAATAGGAGGACACTAACTCTTTAACAAATTTATTCTTTTAAGGTGCTTTTTCTAAAAGACTTTATCTTCTGGGAACAATCATGGATTTAAATCAGATCCTCATGTTTTTAAAATAATTATTTTCATATCCTTGAATATTTCATTATCTGCCTATTCTCATTTCTAACTGTGATATAATTTTAAGCTAGATAAATGATAGAGCAAAATGACTGAAGCCAGACTACACCTGTTAAAATTAAATGACATTTGTCTGAAATCATGACATAAGAAATAACTTTTATCAATTTTGGAATGGCATTAATTAAAATTTAGGCTATGTGGCACTCAAAAGATCACCTGCAGAGTATCTTAAAGAGATAGGTAGTGTCCTTCTGAGCAGCCAAACAGTTATAAGGCGTGGTTCACAGAATAGCTTTGTCAGGAGAGATGTTCCATACATTATGATGATATTAGGGACAAACAAAAGAAACAACTGTTGTATACAAGGGCCCCAAATTGAAAGCCATAGCCTGGGGAATGCAGGCACTGATTTTTGAAAATCAGATGCTTTCCAGATGGCATTTCTAAACAGTGTACTTTAGAGAGTAGCAGCAAGATTTTTCTTTTTAAAGAATGGTTAATAGTTCCGACAAGAAAGCAGGGAACATTAGTTAGTAGTCTGTGAGTTCCACAATAATGTTAAGCATATAAAAATTCCTTAAATTCCTATTACCTTTTCCTGTCTTTTTTCAAAAGAGGATTTAACCGCATCAGAATTTTTGTTTACATCTACAACATCTGTTTCTTCCTCATCATCCAGTAAAGCAAAGGTCACTCTTTTCAAGCTTTCTTTATGTTGTTTACTGTCTTCACTTTCTTCAAGGTCACTATCTTCATTCCTACAATAATCAAAACACTTCAAAGTTATTCAGTATTAAGGAACAACAGATGCAATTACTTAGGTGAAACGTTATATGAGAAACAGAACAGGAAGTGTCTAATATAGAGAAAAAAGTATTCATTAATTGATAAACAAATCTATCTCACAAAAATAACATTCGAGGATTTTGTTGACACAAAAACCAAATCAAAGCTCCTTGTAATAAAGGTTTGATTACTACTACCAACAATATATTTTTCATTAAATGATCTCCAATGTCACCTTAAATTCAGAGACTTTCTTCTAGCTATCTTGAGAATAACTGATATAAGAGAATCTACTATTTGCTCTTAGATTCAAACTTCTCAAGACAAATATATTTGACAACTATGAGTACACATACACAACTGGGCAATTCCAGCTTACAGAGTAAAGGATGACTAATAAACACTCACGTTTCAGAAATGCTTAGTTCTTCAGCTTCTTCTTCAGCAATCTTATCCTCTTCTTTGTTTGAACCCAGCTCATCACCACGAACACTTGCTATGTCTTCATCACTTTCAATAGGATCAAAGAAATCTTTGTATTTCAAGTTTCTGGAACTTTTACCTGACTAAGATAAAAATTTGTTTTAAACTTTTAATTGAGGATAGAAAAATACACTAAAACATGCATATGTCTATATGTGTATTGTATATATATTTTACTTTTAGAAAAACAGAACGAGCTGCGTGCAGTGGTTCACGCCTATAATCCCAGCACTTTGGCAGGGTGAGGTGAGAGGATTGCCTGAGCCCATGGGTTCGAGACCAGCCTGAGCAACTTGGCGAGACCTCATCTCTACAATAAATCAAAAAATTAGCTGGGCGTGGTAGCGCGTACCTGTAGTTCCAGCTACTTGGAAGGCTGAGGCGGAAGGATCACCGGAGCCCAGCAGGTCAAGGCTGCGGTGGCCGGGAGCAGCCACTGCACTCCAGTCTGGGCAACAGAGTGAGACTCCAACTCAAAAAAAAAAAAATTAGCTGGGCGTGGTGGCACGTGCCTGTACTTCCAGCTACTTGAAAGGCCGAGGTGGAAGGATTGCCTGAGCCCAATAGGTCGAGGCTGCGGTGGCTGGGAGCATGCCACAGCCCTCCAGCCTGGGTAATAGAGTAAGACTCCTACTCCAAAAAAAGAAAAAAGAAAAACAGAACAAATCTAATTTGAGGAGGAAGTATTCCGTCTCTCTCCTCTGTCTAAACTTTACCTTAAGTTTTTTACTTCCAAATAGTTCTCCTTCATCAGAATCAGAATCAACATCTTCAAACAAATCAATATCTTCTTCATCATCATCTTTTCGTTCCTCTTCTTTTTCTATGTTTTCTAAAAAGGCTTCCATTTCAGATAGTTTGAAGAACTGATCATCTACTATAGACTTTTCTCTTGGTTTCCCAAGTACTTTAGTTTGCACCTTGGTCTGCTGCTCCAATTTGCTGATATCAAAGTCAAGGTCAGAATCGTCATCACTGAAAACTGGGCTTTTTCTCAGATCAAATTTGCTTGAGTTTTTAGCTCTCTCATCTCCTTTAGAATCATCATCATCTATATCTGACACTTCTTTCTTCTCCAAATCTTGTTCTAGGTCCTCCTGGTCACTTGCCTCCATCTCTGAATCATCCTCTTCACATTCCTGTTCTTCACTCTCTGGAAAAAGACTGATGTCTTCAGCCTTAATTGTTTCACTAACTGCATTCTGGAAGTATCGTAAAATTGGTTCATTTTGCAATTCCAGTTGTTGCCAAATCTGCTCATCATCAAAATTGTCTATCACAAGTTTTTGTAGAGGACTCCCATGAATCCTACCATTCTCCAGTATTTTATTAAAGTCATAAAGTACTTTTGTTAAAGAAGTGAAGTTTGATGCCAAATCATCCTGAATCCTATGAAGGGGAATTAAACGATATTTAGAATTATAGGTAATAATTCCACAACACTCTGAACTTAAAAAAAAATAGAAAGCTCAACTCTCATGCAAAATCAAATTTGAATAAGTATTTCAAGCGTAGATTCTGGCCCCCAACAACGTATTATCTTGTTGATGAGCCACACTGATATATAAAAACTGCCAACTAAGTATCTACAAATCTGCTATACAGATTTTAGGCAGGAAAATCATTGCAGATCTATTTGTTTAGAGATATATAATGAATCAGCATTCAACTCTCAACTCTGTTTTATTACATACCACTCCATTCATTCAGTGAATAGTCAACATTTGCTTTGGCTAGGACAGTCAAGGAAAGCCTCTCTTAGATGTGACATTTGCGATAAGACCTACAGATAAGGAGACAGTCTTATAAAGATCAGGAAACATGTATTCCAGGCAGAAGAAACAGCAAGACCAAATTCCCTAAGAGAAAAATGAGCTCGGTAAGCTTGAGGAACAGAAAGACCAGCATGGCCGTAGTATGAAGGAGGCAGAATATGACTGTAGGGGCTGATGAGAGCCAAATCAGAGCTCGGGGTAAGAATTGGACATTTTAAATGAAAAAACATCAGAAGGTTTAAAGCAGAGGGATGAAATGATGATTTACACTTTAAGAATGCATCCTATAGAAGAAGAATGAAGGTAGGGTGATCAGGAGATTGATGCAGTATTCCAGGCAAAGGATGATGGTAATTTATTCTGGAGTTAGAGCAATGAATATGGTGAGTAGTTTGGAGGCAGAAAAAATGAAGACATCAAGAAGTGGTCTAGTTGTATGCTTCAGCAAATGCAAAGATAGTAATTACATTTACTGAGGTAGGGAAGGCTTGAGCAGTGGAGCAGGGGAAATGACTTCAGAGGAGGGCAGAGTATAGGTGGGCAAACAGAAACAATTCTATTTTGGACACAGTGAATCTGAGATGCTAAGAGTATCAAAAATTTTTTAATTGTTAAAATCTGTACAGTGCGGATCTCTCAGTTGTGTGTTAATGAAATCAAACTAAGCGCAGTCAGTCTGTAGTTGCTGTGAGCCTGGAGCACAAGGGAGAGGTTAGGGTTTGAAACATAAGTATGAGACATAATTTTATACTTGAAGTTCTTCAAAATACGTATAAAACGCTTATGCTGGGAAGAGACAAAACAATTCTAATTCTCAATAAACTTGGTTGTGGGGGTAGACAAAACAAGCGACAAGTTTATATTTCAATAAAATGTGATGATAGGTAAGCCCTGGATGATTTAGGGGCACATGGGGAGAAAAAGTAACTAACACAGTTTGTGTGCAAAGGAATGGAGGGCGAGGCATAAGACCCGACGGAGGCCTCTGGGCGTTAACAACTGAGCTTTATTTCAATAGCACCAACTGGGAGATCCACACTGTACAGATTTCAACAATTTCTAAATCTTTGATAGACCGGGGGGCGTAAACTGTCTTAGACTCGAAGAAACGTGATCCACACTTCCCCCTTATGTTCACCCACTCCCCAGAAATTTGCGGGAGGCCTGCAACCCGAGCCCCGTGAGACCTGGGCGGCACCTCGAGCCGGAGGTCTGCGCACTTACGTGAGGAAGCACTCGGGCCGGCCGGTGGCTTTACTGACCTCCCTCAAACACCGCTTCAGAGTCTGTCGACGCCACACCCGAGGGGCCATGGCTGTCACCAACTCGCGACACAGCGCCGCATGCAAAGGAAAAGAGCGGTCCGGAAACCGCGCCGCAAAACGCACGTGGTGCAAGTTGGAGCTTAGAGCCGACAGTTCCGCAGCGCATAGGTTCCGACCCACCCCCACTGGCAGCACGAGCGCTTGTGCAGGAGGGCGGGGCAGGAAACCAAAAATCGCCACTGAACCCCAGCGCCTTTGAACTTCCCCAAACTTTCTGTTTTGTATTTCTCAGGGGCCCACAAGGGGTGACGCGTCCTGATTTTAAGTTTCTGCTTCGGATAAAGTAGGTAGTTTCAACGCATCGTACTGTAACAGGAACGTGGCTACACTCGCCCCGCCCCTTCGCCGTGTCTGGCCCCGCCCCTGCGGCCCCAGACCCGCTCCTTGGCCTGGTTGCTCCGCCCCTCAGCCGTCCCGCTCGTCCCGTAGGCGGCGCTGCTGGGTTTAGAGGTTTGCTCTCCAAGATGGCGCGTGTACTGATGGCGGCGGCCGCCGCGGCGGCTGCCAACGCCGTAGGTGAATACCGGGCAGCATGGAAGGTCGCCGGGGGGCGGGCGCTTGGAACCCGAAGCCAGGGGGCTGAGGAGGCTGGCCAGAGCTCCTGGTCTAATGTGCTGTGTCCCCAGAAGCGCGTTCCGCGGCCGCTGTCACCTAGGTGGGAGGTATCTTCAGTGACGCCTTGGCTTGGCTGGGGATGGCCTTGCGTGGGTCTCACTGTCACCCGGGAGCCGTGCTCAGTCGTGTTGCCGCTTTTAGTATGTAGGCCAGCGGGTCAGGCAAGGCGGGGATGGAAATAAAAAGAAGAGGGACGGTAAGTGTTATTTTATCGCGCACAATTAGAGACGGGGGAGAAACCCGAAAGGAGAGCAAGTCACGTAAAATAAAAAACAAGCTGAACTCCGAGCGTGGCCAGCCTCCTGTTGGAAACACTTGAAGGTCAGTGGTGTAAAGAATGCCGAGGGAGTGATTTTTCTAAGTGCCCTAATATATTATTATCATCTTGTGCCCACACAGGAAAGATAAAAGCAGGTGGACATCAAAGTTTCCTTGAGTTCTCTCTACCTCGTTTTTTAAAAATTGCTAGGTAGAGGCAGTTATGACAGAACCTCAAGTTTTCTAACTCTCCTACTTTCTCCTTTTTTTCTCCTTTTCTTCTCTTCCTCCTTCTATGAGAGGACAAGTATTCCCTTAATACGAGATTTTCTTTTAGGAATGGGAATGCCCCAGAGTTACTCTGGGGCATTTGTGATAGTTCCTTCTAGCACAAGAGCCTACATTCTTAACTATTAGGCACACTGCCTTTTCTGTGATACACACTATGTCTGAAGGTGAAAATGTAAATAAAAATTCAGATATTAGAGAAAAGTCATTTTTATGTGTGTATTTTTAGATATTTAATGGTTTACAGTTGGGGAAGGAAGTATGACTTTCAACAAGTCATGCACTTACTGTAAAAACTGAATACTGGTATAGATACATGTTTTGTAAGTTGCATACCCATCTTGGCATAAAGGAAAGGAAAATAAAAACAGTGTACTCCAAAGACTGGCTTTGATTATCCTTTTAGATGCTTGAAACTTAATGGCCCTGTTTTTTTAGTTAAAAATATCTTGGCCAGACACAGTGGCTCAGCCTGTAATCCCAGCACTTTGGGAGGCTGAGGCAAGAGGTTTGCCTCTGCCCAGGGGTTCGAGACCAGCCTGAGCAAATTGGTAAGACCTCGTCTCTACCATAAATCGCAAAACTAGCCAGGCGTGGTTGCTTGCATCTGCAGTTCATTACTTGGAAGGTTGAGCCAGAAAGATCACCCAAGCCCAGCAGGCCGAGGCTGCGGTGGCCATGAGCATACCACTGCACTCCAGCCTGGGCGACAAGAGACTCCAACTCAAAAAAAAAGCAATCATATAAAATTTACCGTTTTAACCATTTTTTTGTTTTGTTTTGTTTTGTATAGGAGTTTTACTCTGTTGCCCGGGCTGGAGTGCAGTGGTATGCTCACAGCCACTGCAGCCTCCATCTGCTGGGCTTACACAGTCCTTCTGCCTCAGCCTTACAAGTAACTGGAACAACAGGCACAGGCCACCACCGCTGGCTAATTTTTTGATATATTGTAGAGATGAGGTCTCACCAAGTTGCCCAAGCTGGTCTCTAACCCCTGGACTCAAGCAGTCCTCTCGCCATTGCATCCCAAAGTGCTGTGATTATAGGCATGAGCCACTGCACCTGGCTTTTTTTTTTTGAGTTGGAGTCTCACTGTCACCCAGACTGTAGTGCAGTGGCCACTCCCGGCCACTGCAGCCTCGACCTGCTGGGCTCCGGCGATCCTTCCGCCTTAGCCTTCCAAGTAGCTGGAACTACAGGCGCGTACTACCATGCCCGTCTAATTTTTGATTTATTGTAGAGATGAGGTCTCACCAAGTTGTCCAGGCGGGTCTTGAACCCGCGGGCTCAGGCAGTCCATTCACCTTGGCCTCCCAAAGCGCTGGGATTACAGACTGAGCCATCGAGCCCGGCCTGCACCCAGCTGTTCGATAGGGACAATTTCAGTTTGGGGCAGATGAAAACATTCTGGAGATGGATGATGGCGGTGGTTTCAAAACAAAGAGAATGTACTTGAAGCCACTATGCTATGCACCTGCTTTAATCGTTAAGTGTGTAGCGTAGTGGCTTCAAGTACATTCTCTTTGTTTTGAAACCACTGCCACCATCCATCTCCAGAATGTTTTCATCTGCCCCAAACTGAAATTGTCCCTGTCGAACAGCTGTCTATTCTCTAGTTCCCTCAGCCTTTGGCAACCACTGTTCTACTTTGTCTCTCTGAATTTGACTACTCTGGGTATCCTTGTAGGTGGAATCATACAGGATTTGTGCTTTGTACTTGGCTTATTTAACTGAGCATAATTGATGTCCTCAAGGTTCATCCATGTTGTAGCATGTGTCAGAATTTCCTTCCTTTTTTAATACTGAGTATTAATCATCCATTGTGTATGCATACCGTATTTTGTTTATCCATCTCTCAATGGACATTTGGATTGTTTCCACTTTTTGGCTATTGTGAACAATATAGTTATGAACATGTGTGTTCCTTGGAATTCCTGCCTTTTGGATATGGTAGGTCTTTGTTATGGCCCCACTTTTAAGGAATGTAAAATCCTCACAGTAAAACAAGAGAAGCACAGAAAAAAAAATCAGAGTAAACACACAGTATGAGTCCCAATTTACCTTGCAAAGTGTTGGCTTCATGAAAAAGTTTTGAAAATTGAAATTGAACCTGCTATGTGGGAGACAAGAATGGCCAACTTGCATTACTGTGCATAGAGATATACTTTTATTAATCATCTGTAAGTGGGTTAACAGAAATGTAGTGTATTTACTTACTGTGATGACTAAAATATTTTTTATCATAGTTTGAAACAAGTTGAAGACATGTATATGGTGCTATGAGATTCACTGGTTGAATGTTGAAGAGAAAACTTAATAGCTTCTTACCAAACTTACTTGAAGGCACTTCTAATAAATGCCTTCCTAAATATGTTATGTCTCTTCAAACCAGATATGCAAAAACTCAGACTTAAAAACATATTGCGTGTTCTGAAATTAGATTTTACATGAAGGTTGCCCAGCTTTGCAAATTTACTAAGAACCACTGATTTGTACACTTCACATGGGTGAATTCTGTGGCATATAAGTTACAAAAGAGTTTAACAAACTGTTGGCAGAGAAAGCTATTGAAAAATCTTACTACAAGGGATTATTCACAATTTTATGACACTTTATAAGTAAATTTAACATCTAATTTCTTTAAATAGTATGTATACTTAATTCATTTTAGTGTAGACCCTTGCAGCTAAACCTTCACTAATTTGGAGACTGTTAAAGAAGCCTGGTCTGAAATAAGTGCAAAATCTGAACTGAAACAAATTCAAAATTTTTTTAAGTCAAGGCACTAAAAGTGGTTAACAAGTTAGGAATTAGAATTAACATACACACCAGATTTTGTAATGTGTCTTTTACTTGTACACCAGATTCCTGACGTGTAAAAATAATATTTCATATTTTTAATTATTCATCTTTACACTCCTTTTTTATTAACACTCCTGTTGTTAAATATCTTACACATTTATTCACATATGGTTATACACTGTAATTTATTCATAGAAAGCAACCCTTATTGGAGTAATCACAAATTGCATATTACAGAGTTCAACATAATGCAATTCCACTGCACCTTTCTGAAATGGGAGGCAGAAATAGCTAAAACTGGAGTTCTGAGTTCCTGCCAATTGAAGGGCAATCCAAAATTAAGATATCTTTTAAAAGTTAGTTTGATTGTGATGACCATTTTGTAATTTATGCTTCTATCAAAACATGTTGTATACCTCAAATATATATAAGTTTTATTTGTCATACTTCAAAAAGCTGGAAATAGATCTTTTTAAAGTTGCTAAAAGTCAAAAGAGAAAGTTCAGTTCACAGTGAACTTTTCAGAAACACATTTTTATTAAGTATAAGGATCTATCTCATTTCAACCACTTTGTTCCATGTTCCCTACCCAGTTGTCTTAGTCTGTAAGATTTCACTTACAGATTTTTACTACTAGTATCATCTCCCTTCTTTTTTTTTTTCCTAAGGTAAAAATTCACAAAACAAAATTAACCATTTAAAAATGTACAATTTAGGCTGGGCTCACACCTGTAGTCCCAGCACTTTTGGAGGCCGAGGCAAGTGGATTGCCTGAGCCCAGGAGTTCAAGACCAGCCTTGGAAACATGGCAAGACCTCATCTCTACAATAAATAAAAAAAATTAGCCAGGCGTGGTGGTGCACGCCTGTGGTCCCAGCTACTTGGAAGGCTGAAGTGGGTGGATTGCCTGAGCCCAACAGGTCAAGGTTGCAGTAGCTGTGATGCTGCCACTGCATTCCAGCCTGGCCAACAGAGTGAGACTCTGACTCAAAAAAAAAAAGAAAAAAAAAAGGTACAATTTAGCAGCACATACGACATTCATTGTGTTGTGCAACCATCACTTTTATCTAGTTCAAAACATTTTCATCACCACAAAAGGAAACCTCATGCCTATTAAGCAGTTACTCTCCATTCCCTTCTCCCTCCAGCCCCTGGCAACCATTGTTCCACTTTTAATCTGTATAGACTTACTATTCCAGATATTTTATTAAAATGGAATCATACAACTTATGACCTTTTATGTCAAGTTTCTATCACCATAATGTTTCAATGTTCATCCATGTTATAGCATATGTCAGTACCTCATATCCAGATAATATTCCATTGGCTATTGGAACTACTGCTGCTTAGTTTGCAAGTTTTTGTTTGAATACCTATTTTTAAATGATTTGTGATACTTAAGAGCAGAATGCTAGGTTATATGATAAATTCTTTGTTTAGCTTTTTTGAGGAACTGCTGAATTGTTCCATGGCAGCCGCACCATTTTACATTCTCACTAGCAGTGTACCAGGGTTCTAATTCTCCACATCCTCAACTGTTACTATTTTTTATTTTCTTGATTATCTTGGAGGGTGTGAAGTAGTATTTCACTGTGGTTTTGATTTGCTTTTCTCTAATGACTAATACTGAGTATCTTATGTGCTTGTAGGCCATTTTTATATCCTTCATTTTAAAGAAGCAGAATTACTGACTTCTCATTGGTATTTTTTCTGTCCTATTTCTAGATGTATGCGTTAGGAACCAAATAAAACCAATAAAATGTGATATTTCCTTTCTTAAACCAGTTCACATTTCTAGAGGTAAACCTACATAACCTCAAAGTCTTCATTTTTTACAATATATAAATATGCTGTCTTTCTGACATATGAAGGAGGTTTTGTTTCTTTTAAAAGGAAGAAGAGCCAGTCATTCTCATAAACTGTTTTCTCATACTTAGAACCAAATGACAAGGAAGCTAGGGAGAAAGACTACTGTGAGGCAGCCTATAACACGATTTGCTTAGGCTCCCTTCTCAGGGCCAGATGTTTTGTTGTTGTTGTTTTTTTTTTGAGTTGGAGTCTCGCTCGGTCGCCCAGACTGGAGTGCAGTGGCCGCTCCCGGCCACCGCAGCCTCGACCTGCTGGGCTCCGGTGAACCTTCCGCCTCAGTCTTCCAAGTAGCCGGAATTACAGGCATGTGCTGCCACGCCCAAGGGCCAGAGGTTTTAAAATATCCCTGAAGCAAACTGGCATAGGATATTGCATACACTTTACTTGGACATCCTATAATTGTTCTCTGTGTTCCACTTCTATATGTTCCATTGCTGTTCCTCGGACACCTGTCAAGGGGCCTCAGTAACAGTGGTAAGGAAGATTCAGAAACACCTGAACTCAATATTTGATACGCCCTTAAAATTCAGACAAAACAACTTCTTAATGTGCATATTACCCTAAAGCTCACTAACCCTATCTATCTACAATTCTTTTTAAATACAAATAAATTCTATATTGAACTTTAATTGCAAGTTGCACATGTGGTAGAGATGCAAGAGAAGGAAAAAGCAGCTTGACCAATGATTTTGTTGTTTCTTCATGAGCTAGTGTCTTGGTCTTCACAGATAACCCTTCTTTCCCATGAGAGCTTTTGGGTATTTCAGTAATAATATAAATAGGCAGAGCAGAAGACTATCTTAAGTTTAATTTTGCCTTCTGCTGACTTATGATGCATCAGATTTATAGTCTTAAATAAAATTCAAAATAGTATCACTTTAATTTCTTTATTATAAAAATCTTTAGTTAAGGGAAATTATTTTTTTATTAGCTGAAGCTCTGTGATACTAGATACTGTTTAATGTGTTTTTCATTAAGAGCTAACTAATAACCTATTATTTGAGGTATGTGTTCTTCATTTTGTTATTTCATACCATTTTATTACGTGATATAGTTTTACAAGATTATGTTTAAACCTCATACATGTATGCAATTTTTTTCCTTCTGGGAGGAATTTGGCTCCTAAAGTTCAGTGTTTTGGTGAATGGGGAGGCAGAGTAATATTAATACATGGGGGTGAGACCTTGTAGCTGCCTTCAGTTACTGAGTGAAAGAAGATTTTTTAATGTTCAGAAGTAGTTCTACCTCTAATCCTTCAAAATTATAAAAAGAAATAATTTAAAAATCTGGTCTCAAAGGAGACCCTCATAAGTTAAGTACCATCTTGATCTTGGCTTGTTTTTCCCCAGCAATTAGATATTTTCTGTAATAGGTAATCAGTAAAATACACATTAAAAAGTATTTCACATTTATGCCTTTAATGAACTTATTATAGAATATAAGACAAAAAATAGGTATAGATAGGTAAGAAAATTGTTAACTCTTATCATTAAATGTATGTTGTTTTGCTATCACATTCAAATTTATTCCCTGTGAAACACAGAGAATAGTAAGTAGTATTAATAGTTCACATGCAGCTATCCTTTAAGTGTTACCAGTAAATATTGAATTGTTATGAAAAATGTCATTCTGTGTTTAAATCTAGTTGAAGCGCAGAATTCTTTTTAAACTCCAGATGGTTGTTTAAATGGGCAGAGCAGAGTGAGTAAATTTGACATAAGTCTTTCCATTTATCTCCCTTGATTTAATTTCAGTAATTAAAAAGAATAAGTCTATAAATAATGAGTTTTTGTTTTTATTATTTGTTTGGTTTTAAAGTTTAATTTAGAAGTTACATTAAGTCTTAAAAGAAGAATATCAATGACTATTCCATTTTTCAGGGCTTTTTTCCAGACTCCAAGCTCCAGTACCAACACCAAGGACTTTTTCCATGTCGCAGGTTTCTCATCATGTGGCAGGTCCTTCATGGAACCTGGGTCGACTTAATCATGTAGCCATAGCAGTACCAGATTTGGAAAAGGCCTCAGTGTTTTATAAGAATGTTCTGGGAGCCCAAGTAAGTGAGGCAGTCCCTATTCCTGAACATGGAGTATCTGTTATTTTTGTCAATTTGGGAAATACCAAGATAGAACTGCTTCATCCATTGGGAGACGACAGCCCAATTGCAGGTTTTCTGCAGAAAAACAAGGCTGGAGGAATGCATCACATCTGCATTGAGGTATTTTATTATTTTAATGCTTGATATTATAAATCTCTTACAGAATGTCTTTTGTTTTTTAAGATTGCATATGATCACTGTCATCAGAAACTTATATTAAGATCTTAAGGGTAATGATAACTTTAGTACTACTCAAAAAAAGAATATATACTCAGATATATTCTTTTTTTCTTTAAAAAACTGTAAAAAAATAATATTAATGTATTTTATTAAAGTCTGGTTTCAACAACCACCATGAATGCCACCACAGTTAGCCAAAACACAGAGTTTTGTGCTAGGATTTATTCCTCATATATGACCTCCCATGTCATAGAAATCCAAACACCTCTTATCAACAGGGTCCCTGAATGAAACATAATTGTATACCTAACCCTTAACTGTACCCCACAACATCATAATAAAAAATATTGATTAAAAAAAAGAAAAGAAATACAACTGCTTTCACTTTCACAAGGCAATTAGGAGAAAAAAATAAAAAGACTTTATAAAGTAAAACCTTCCACATACTTGCCAAATATTTTTTATAATTTTTTTCTCTCCTTAAAATTCTAATAGCTTGTTCCTTATTACAAAAGCAATACATTTTCAATTACTGACTGTGATTTTGGAGATCTTTTGAATTGCATCTGCTAACAGTTCCCCCAAAATATGAAGAAATATTAGACAAGAACAGTCTCATCAGAGAACGTTTGTCTGCAGATGTTCATGTTCAGATAACTTCCTCTTAGAATATCTGCAATGATAATTATGCTTCAATTTAAATTGATTTGATAGGACAGTCCTTTTGATGTAAGGCGTGTCATAATTGTTAGGCCAAATTCCTAACCTGTAAGAGAGGTAGGTTGATTATAGAGTGAATTCTAGAAAGCATTCTATTCGTTATTGCAACCATATACAAAAACCTACCATGTGTACTCTGCTAAGTACTCGAGATTCAAAAATGAATAAGACATGCACCATGTCCACAGTGAGATAGGGCTTTTATCATTACAAACAGATAAGTACAGTACACCGTGATTAGTGGAATTGATAGATGTGACCTCAGTACCACAAATGAAGGTACAAATGAAGAGATTGATTGCTCCCGGCAGGTCAAGTTGCTGGGAGGGTCTCACAGAAAATTAGTTACAATGAATGTGAAGGAATTCCTCAGGTAAAAGAAGAAAGGTCATTCCAGGCAGAGGAAATTTGCATGTGGAAAGGCATCGAGGTATTGTGACAATTAACACTGGGTCCTCCAGCAGTACAAATGCAAAGGACCTAACAAACGTTATTTTCTTTAATTCTCACAGGTAAGGAAACTGAGGCTTGGTGTAGTTAACTTCCCCTCAGTCGTATTGGTAGTAGGCCGCAAGGCTGGAGTTGAAACCCAGATTTGTTCTGATTTCAGGGTCAGCACTCTTTTTTTTTTTTTAGTTGGAGCCTCACTCTATCACCCAGGCTGGAGTATAGTGGCACACTCAGGGGGATTGCAGCCTTGACCTGCTGCGATCCTTCTACCTCAGCCTTCCAAATAGCTGGAACTACAGGCACACGCAACCACGCCCAGCTAATTTTTAATTTATTGTAGAGACGAGGTCTTGCCAAGTTGCCCAGACTGGTCTAGAACCCCTGACAGGCAGTCCTCTTGCCTCAGCTTCCCAAAGTGCTGGGATTACAGACTTGAGCCACCATGCCTGGCAGGGTCTGCACTCTTACCCATGATGTCAGTTACCTTCATTACATTAATGGAGTATAAAGTTTGTGTTGGGGGAGCTACAACATTTTATGCAAGGCCTAAAATTAGCCTTCATTCCATTTTTAGGAGATTACTTTTGGCTACAGGTCTTTGTCAGTGGACCTGAGGATTTGTCTAAGTCTCCCACTCCCGGGATGAGAATCAGGACCTTTGAATCCACTCTTCTTTCTCCCACACTGCACTGTCTATGTTCCACATCAAGAGACCCCAGTGCCTTCAAAGGAAGCCAGCTATGAGAGTTAGGAGTTCAGTTAAGTAAAGAATAGTGGATGTTCAGTATTGTGACGACAGATTCAAAATTAGAGATCCGAAGGGGGACATGGAAATGTTTGTGAGTATAAAATGACTGTGGGTAATAGGAGAAGGTGTGACAAGCAGTTAGTTGCTGTTTTAGTGTAACACTTCCCTGTTATTCTCTGCCCTCCACAAAAGGAACTTAACAAGATAGAGTTTATTTTTCTCTTCTCAATCTAAAAGCGGGTGGTCCGTAACACGATTTACAGGGCGACTCCATGTTTCACTTCTGTTCTTATCCCACCGGCCCAAGCTTAGTCACCTGGCACACTTCTCTTCAAGTGGCACTGGGGAATGTAGACTGTAACTAGGTAGATATGTGCCCTGCTAAACCTTGGGGATTGCTGTGACTAAAATGAAGAAAAGGGCCGGACTCGGTGGCTCAGCCTATAATCCTAGCACTTTGGGAGGCCAAGGCATGTGGGTTGCCTTGAGCCCGCGGATTTGAGACCAGCCTGGGCAACTTGGCGAGACCTGGTTTCTACAATAAATAAAAAAAATTAGCTGGGTGTGGTAGCATGTACCTGTAGTTCCCGCTACTTGGAAGACTGAGGCAGAATGATCACCGGAGCCCAGCAGGTCGCTGGGGTGGCCGTGAGTGTGCCACTGCACTCCAGCCTGGGTGACAGAGTAAGATTCCACATGAATGAATGAATGAATGAATGAAAAGGCCGTTAGTTGATGCCATAGTTGTTGATTTTTAAAAGTGGTATTACTAGGATAGCCTGACACTTTCTGAATGCAGGTATGGTATAAGAAAGAAACACCTGAGAATTCCTGTTCTTTCTCCTCCTGCTGCGACAGTCTGTGAGATAATGTCACAAGATGGAGGGGACTTGGTTTCCTGGCTTAACAGATAGAGCAAGATTCCTTGCCTGTCCTTGAATAGGAAATATGTTTTTATTGAATGAAGCTGCTGAGATTTCAGGAGCTTCATTATTTTATCACAGTGCAACCTAGTCTGGGTAATAAAACTTGGATGATAGAACTAGCCAGAGAGCATTTCTTTGGTCATTGTTCCAGTTACTGTTGCCATGTAATACATTATCATAAAACTCTGTGATGTTAGACAACCACCATTTCATTTTGCTCAGTGTGGTATGGATCAGGAATTTGGGGAGGACGATTAGATGTTAGCTGTGGCTTCCTCATCCAGAGGCTTGACTGGGCTGGGCATCTGCTTCACTCTTGTGGCTGGCACTTGGTGCTGACCTGCAGTGGTGAGCTCAGCTGTGCTTCGCCAGGAACACCTATGTGTGACTGCTTGCTTTATGAGCTAAAGGCAGTTTTAAGGGACAGTTGGACTTCTTCTTGGCACTTGGCTTCCCCCAGAATAAGTGTCTCAAGGAGAACCAGGCAGGACTGCATGGCCTTTTCTGACATAGCCTAGAAGCAGCACTTCTGCAGTTGTTCACTGATCATAAGCCTCCAAGGCTGGCCAGATGTGAGAGGAAAGGACATAGACCCTGCCTCTTGAGTAGCAAAGAATCTGTGGACACATTTTAAAAGTACTGTAGGCCGTCAACAATGTGTTCTAAGCCAAAGGAAGATGTGAAAGTTCTAAAAGTCTAGCACGACTTCATTTTCAAATTGCTATTTAAGTGGGGACCAGCAGCATTTTCATATGCAAGAAGAGACTATTTAGTCTTTTTGTTTGGATTCTCAGTCTGTCACCCAGATGGGAGAGCAGTGGTATGATCATGGCTCACCGCAGCTTCAAACTCCTGGGCTCAAGCTATCTTCTTGCCTTAGCCTCCCAGGTAGCCAGGACTACAGGCATGTGCTACCACACCCAGATAATGTTTTATTTGTTGAAACGATATCTCACTGTATTGCCAGGCTGGTCTTGAACTCCTGGGCTCAAGCAATTCTTCTGCCTTGGCCTCCCTAAGTACTGGGATTACAGATGTGAGCTACCATACCCAGCTTGAATTGCATCTTCTGAAAATGGTCATAATTCTTCTGTAGCTTTATGGTGTATTGCCTTTTTTTTTAAATGCCATCCCTTGTTTTAAAATGTTAAATCCACCCATCAGAGAATTGACTTTCCTCTCTATAATAACTACAAGGGCACTTTATGTTCTTTGTCACTGAGATTTCTTATAAAACATCCGATTTAGCAGTGTGTCTTGGACATGCTCCATGCCTTTTTATTGACTCAATAAAGATTTTTTACAAATTGTCCTTTATCTCATGCATGAACTAGTACTTCACTAGTTATCACATTTTTCTGTCAAGATTGAGTTTTGGTTTCCATTTTCTTTCATGAGATTTGCCCACATTTCTTATGTGTCCCTGACTTTCACTAAAGTAAGGCTAAAAGCCATCTAGCCCAGGCTCTTCTCTTGCTTGTATATGGACTTAGCTGCCCACTGTTTTCTGGCATAGCTTATGTTTGTGCTGCCAGTGCCTGTTTCCTTAATGGCAAGACTGGATGTCTTTCCCTGCCTTCTGTGTGCCTCTGTATGAGGAGACGGGTTCTGGTATTGAGTAGAGCTGGCCATGCTCTCACTAGATAGCATACCCTAGTTTACTTTTTCTGTGTTGAAATGTGTTAGGAGACACAAATACTACCATTGTGTTATAGTCACCTACAGTATTCATTACAGTAACATGCAGCACAGGTTTGCAGCCTAGGTGCAATAGGCCATTCCATACAGCCTAGGTGTGTAGTAGAATATACTATCCAGGTTTGTGTAAGTGCATTCTATGATGTTTGCGTAAAGACGAAATCACCTAATGACGCGTTTCTTAGGATGTATTTCTGTCAAATGATGCGTAACCATATTGCTTTCTACTTACCAAAACAAAAAGGGAAATAAACAATATTAAAAGTAATTGTGGCCCCTCCTCTAATAGTTGTCCACATTGGTGGGGAGAGCCAGAGTAGCCCAGAGCAGGGTGTTGGGGCCCAATTAGGGTGAGAAGGGTATCCATGAGTTAAGGGTATCCAAGTGCCGGGGAAACC